CTGTTGATCTCAAGATTAGCGGCCTAGATCTCATCTCTTTATTCCAAGTCTAAATCATGCAGTACACTTTGCTTTTTGGATCTCCATCCAGTTACAACACAGTCGTTCATTTCAGATAGTAGAGGATTAAATGGCACACGATGGTGTTAAGCTGGATAAGTGGGCATACGGTTCGAAACCCGCTGCCTTCCAATCATTTGTAAAGCAGGGCAATCATTGCAAATGATTGCTCCCTGCCACCGCCACCGATAGTTAATTAATACAATCTAATTTTAAATGCTTTAAAATATATTAAATTTAGAATATCATAGAAAATTTATTTCTTAATGGATTTTCATGATTTTGATGTATATGGATTTAGAATTAAAATATCTTTGAAATAAAAATAAATTCATATTAAATAAATCAATATGTTAAAAATAATTTCAAGTATTTTATTTTTAGTATATAATTAATATTTTATTAAGCGTAAATCCAAATAACTTGAAATTTTGCGAAAACAATTTTGAGTATATCCCTAATCTCTTATAATTTTTCTAGGTTTATTTAGGTTTTATTTTTATAATTTTTGAATTTACAAAATCATGGGCATGATTTGACCTTTGATTTTGAAAATTCATTATATGCATTTTTTATTCATTTTAAACACTCAAACTGTAACATCAAAATCTGCTCCAGGATCGTCCGGGCCGATCTGGATCGTCCCGAGACGATTAGTGTAAATTCTGCTCCAGATTCTGTACAGAAGTTACAGGAATGATTTCCTGTAGGGATCATCCGGGCCGATCTGGGATCGTCCCGGGACGATCAGTTCATGGCAAAAGTCAGAGAGCAAATCGTCCTGGAAATTAATTATCGTCTTGAGAAATCGTCCCAGGCCGATGTGGATTTGTTCAGATCGTCCAGGACGATCGTGCGATTGGCCGGGCCGATCAGAGTATTTTAAAGCTGAAATCAGTCGTTTTGAAGAGAGAGAAAAATCAGATATTTATAAAAATCCTTTTGAGGAGAGAGAAACTTGAGGAAAAGATTGGAAAAGTTGATTTTCGAGCGACGCCGGGCCGTTTTCGTCCGACGAGATTGTTCAAGAAAGTGTTGTACGCAAGGTAAGGCACATTCCGCCTTTCTCAATTTTCAGAACGGTGCAATTTGAACGACTTTTCTGTCCGGATTTCGTTTTTGTTAGCGAATTTCTTTCGTATTTTCCGATTGGTTCAGTTTTTACCGCGTAAATTTTGATATGTTTCTGAGGTGCCGAGTGTGCTCATTTTGATTATTTTCTGGAGAATTTTGACTGGGTATTTTTGATTCCGCAGTATTTTCTTTCGACTGCATTTTTGACGATGTCTAAAAATATTATGGCAGTAGAATAAAAGTCTTATATTATTGTTGTGAATGTTCTGTGATAATTTGAATAAATTTTTATTATAATTCATGAATAATTAATTAAAATTAATGAAAAATTCAATAATTCATTAAAAATTTCTTAATTTTTTAATTCAATTTAGTTTGCATATGTTTTTTTTGTTAGTAGGGTATACAACTTAACAAATAACATAAATTAAGATATGAATTTTATCCATATAATTCAATAATAATAGTGTAATGTAATCATGGATGTTCAACATATCATGATAACTTATAATTCAATTACAATATTTACCAATATATGATCCTAATTTTTTAATTAAGAAAATAATCTCTGATGCGTCATCAAAAAATTATCTTAAACGGGCACGAATCTCAATGCAAAATCAAGTTGGAAACTTCAAAAATTAATCCAGAGAACATCCGAACTTTGGTTTCAGGAAACTTACAGTCAAACTGAGCGTCTCGGAATACAAACCCAATGACACCAAATTCAACCCAATCTGAGCCCAAATGGGTCCAAATCAAGGACCCGAAGTGCTGTTGGAAGATTCAAACCACAATTTAGATTACCAAACAGTTTCCAAACATAACAAGCTTATACTCGAATTAAGCGGATCGACGAGACAAATCCAACGAGCCCACGATCGCCGAATTCCGACATCATTAAAGTCTTCAAATGTCTAAAGAACGGTGCATGATCGAGAGATTCAACATCTGTCGTTCATCCGACCACTCCACATTTACCCTTGATCTCTCACATATTTACGGGTCATGCCACTCCATAAATCTATAAATAGAGCTCCCTCTCCTCTTGAGGGATGACCCCCTGAGCCTAAGGGAAAAAGAAAGAGATCGGAGATCGCTCTTGCTTCCTATCCTCCTCGACCACTGACAGAGTTCCGACAAACCACCGTTGCTCCACCAAAGCCGGACGTCCGCCGGACTACCACCTGATGCCGTTGCTCCGCCGGACCACCACATGATGCCCTATGCTTCACTAGACCACCGCCTAATGTCGTTGCTCCGCCGAACCACCACCTGACGCCCTGTGCTCCGTCGGATCACCGCCTAACGTCGTTGTACCGTTGGACCACCGCCAGAGTTCCGACGAATTGAACCACCGCTGCTCCACCAACGCCGGACGTCCACCGGACCACCACCTGACGTTGTTGCTTTGCCGGACCACCACCTGAAGCCCTGTGCTTCGCCGGACCACCGACTAACGTCGTTGCTCCGCCGAACCACCACCTAACGCCCTGTGTTCCGCCGGACCACCGCCTAACGCCGTTGTACCGCCAAACCACCACCTAACATCCCGTGCTTTGTCGGACCATCACTTGACGTCGTTGCTCTGCTGGACCACCAATTTAGGCCATCACCTCCACCAAACCACCACCTGACGCCGTTGTTCCGCCAGACCATCACTTGAGGCCCTCACCTTCCTCGACCACCGTCGGACTTCCGCCGGACCACTACTTGAGGCCCTCACCTCTGCCGGACCACCGCCTGACGCCGTTGCTCCGCCGGACCATCACCTGAGGCTCGGACTTCTTTCAGACCACCACTTATGGCCTTGTGCTCCACCGGACAACCACCTGAGGCCCGGACTCCACCGGACCACCACCTGAGGCCCGGACTTCTTCCGGACCACCACTTAAGGCCCTGTGCTCCACTAGGCCACTACATGAGGTCTAGACTTCTTCCAGATTACCACTTGAGGCCCTATGCTCCACCAGGACACCACCTGAGGCTCGACCTTCTGCAGGGCCACCACCTAACAACCATAAATCTACCAGAGTACCGCCCCACTACAACGATCTTTTTGACATCGGTCTCCTGACGACTACGGTCCTTCTGACCTCCATCGCCTACTATGGCCCTTCCAACCAAACAAATATGTCTATGTTGATTATTGTAACTCCCACCATGTAATGCACTCTATATGACAGACATTTGTAATATCAAGCCAAGTCCTTCTCCCTAAGAAGGGGTTCATTTGTAATCGACTACAAATACTAGTGGATTCATTCAAATTGGGCAAAGCCCTGTGGTTTTTCTCCCTTTTTAGGGGTTTTCATGTAAAAACTCTAGTGTCTCTTATGAATGCTACACCCTCTCTCACTTATCTGATTGTGTGCTAGATTTTCGTACAATGCTAAGACGTTAAACTATATATTTCTCTACCGCCGTGAATACTCCAGGACACAACAATCTTAAATGTTCATATGTTTAAGCATAAATGAATTCTAAGGGTTGTATAAAACTCTGGAAGCTAAATTAAAATTATAAATTTAATTTTATAAATAGGTTACATTAAATCATTTATTTTTGAAATATTAAAAATCATGAGAATTTTAAAAGTTGATCTTAATTTTAAAAAGTGATTATTGAATAATATTATCATGCAAACATATTTAGAGCTGTATCAATTAAGCATTTTATGAAGTCTACCCTTTAAACCCGGTCTAAAGAGACAAAAATAGTCGTACGGCCCGATAAAATTATCCTATTGTGTCGTCATCTAGCCCCTGGTTTGGATATTATCATCACCTACCGGTAAGTGACACCTCCCTTGCCTCATTGCAAACACAGCCAAGGCTTCCTGGGCCGTTGACGGGCCTGTGGTCTCTGTCAAGGCGGTATCTTTACCCATTTGATCCCGTGCGTCGCCAGTGGATAAAATCGACAAAAGAAAAGGCAAAATAATATAAAAAATTGCCGAAATAATAAATAAATAAATAAATTGACACATTCCCCTCGACTCCATCTTCCCTGTGGCGAAGCCGCTCTTTTTATACTCTTTGGCGCATGGGAGCGAGCATAGAGAGCTTCTATGGAGTGAAGGAAGAAGCCCATCTCTCTCTCTCTCCTCTTTCTGAAGCAAACAGGCTCATTATTTTATTGTTGATGTGCTTGTAGTAACCTGTGATGGCTAAAAAATGAGCGATTTTTATAACCAGCTGAGGTGCTTTCTTGTTATTCTTGGCTTGCTGAGGAAAACTCACTGTGAAGTTGAAAATATAGAGAGGGAGTGAAGTGGCTTTGCAAGGCGAAGGAGGAATAAGAGAAAGATGAAGCCTTGTTTCATTTTTATGATTTGATTCTGAAGTTCTGAGAAGATTGCATTGGATTTTTACCTTTGGGCTTTTACTATTTTTGCATTGAAGGAATAAAAGAGGCACCTTTGGGGCATTTCAGTTTACACCGACTTGAGTACTGTGAAGAAATAATCTCCGGGAAGAGTTCCAAGAACAAGTCCAGTGAGCTCACAACCAAATCGGTTTCTTTACGTCCTTTTATTACCTTAAACGCTTTTGTTTGCTTCTTTGTTTTGATTCATACTGGTTAGGCTGATTTGTTTGATGCAATTGAAAATAAAAACCAACCAAAATCTGAATTTTGATGATTTAGTTATCATTGATTTGAGCATGAAAACCGGTGATAAAGATGGCATAATAGATGAGTGAAAGAACCGTGCGATTTTTAAGTAATCATCTTCATTTTTGGCTTCCGCTATTCTAATCCTCTTAACTATATGTTTTATATTTGCAGTTTCTTCTGAGTCTGTTTGATTCCAACGGTACTAAGTTTGAAGAAGAGAAATAGCCGTTGAAAGAAATCTTACCCTAATGACCGGTAATCCTTCGATCTTCCCCTCTCCCTCTGCAAAGCGTGCAAGTCCTATCTCGTCTCTCTTTGTTTCTCCAAAGCTCTGTGTGGGTCTCTCTCCAAAAGCCTTTTCAGACTCTGAAGCTAGCATGAGCCCAACTTCCATTCTTGAGACCAAGCCCTTCTCTGTAATTAACAGACCTTTGTTTACTGAAAGAAACCATAGAAAGCCTTACTGTGGCAATGAAGACTCGAGACCAATAGGCCTCGGCTTAGTTGATTCTCTCACAAAAGATACCTCTGAGAAGAAAGCCTTAAACCAGAGTAGTAGAATGGTACTATTTGGATCACAGCTTAAGATTCAGATCCCCTCTGTGAAATCCTATTCTTGTTCATCTACTGGGTCTGTTGAGTCCCCTCGTACTCCTATTGAATTTGGAATAAAGAACAAGAATTCACAGCTAGCTCTGCACTCTCCTGCTGGTTTGCGCTGTGAGACGAAGCCTTCTTCTCCAAGAATTTTCACAGGGTGTCTTTCTCCAAGGGAGATGGAGCTCTCAGAGGATTACACTTGTGTGATCTCTTATGGACCAAATCCTAAAAAGACTCATATCTTTGACAATTACATTGTTGAGAGCTGCGGTGATGGTTTCGTGCCATCGAGCAAGGAAAACATTTTGTTAGCTGATCAGAAATCTGGATGCCATTGATAGTATTTCTTAAGCTCAATTCTTTCACTGTTACAAGAGGTTTCTTGCACTGAGAAAGTATAATTTCATGTACAGGTAAGTTAGTATGATACTCTTTACAGTTTTTGTTTGAAGATCTTAAGATTTTGATGTTGTGGAGTATTGGTCTTGTTCATGATTGATTAGTCTTGACTATTTAAGTATGAATAATGCTTGTTACACTTAGTCACTTACAACTTATATGGTATAATTTAATGATTATGTTGAAAATTTGTTGATTTTGAAAACTTATTTGTAAGCATTTTTGTATTGCACTTATTTTAAAGCAAATCTAATGGTTCAAAAACTCATTTTGATCATATTTTGATGAAAATATTTTTGGTTAAAGATCACTATGCATTTTTAACCTTAAATCTTTGTGTTCATCAAGATGACACATGTCTATTGCTCATGCACCATTTCATGTATTTTTTCCCATTTCATCTTTTTCCTTAGAATTATTTAGAGGTGTAAATAAGTCGAGCCGAACATGTTACCATAGTTTGAGCTTGAGTTTGATTGATTAATTGAGTTTGAGCTCAAGCTCAAGCTCAAGCAGCCTCACGAGATGCTCATTTGTACCAAAAGAAATAAAATGGTTAGGATTGAAGTAGTTATTTATAGTAAAATTATAATAAGAATGATTAATTATAAGAAAAATAATAGTTGCTTATATAAAAAAAAGTGAGATATAGGCCTTGTTTGGGACTCTTTCTTATTGTTTTTTTAAAGCTAACTTTTTAGCAAAAAAAATTTGAACTCATGATTTCTAATACATTTTAAGTACATTTCATATTAATAATTTTCAAAAGAGGTAGCTCACAAGCAAACTAGTCTAGTTGAGGTTGACTCAAATTTGACTCGTTAGCTCATCGAATTCGGCTCATTAGTTTATCGAGCCGATGAGTCGGCTCACTCACACCCCCTATAACTATTTGTTGTTCTTGTTGGATCACCATTATTATTCTATTTTTTTAATGGTGATTGCTAAGATCATCTTTAATTTTTAATCTACTCTATCCTTATTGCAACAACAAAGTCATTAGCCTTTGAACTAAAGCTTTTATGTTACTTCAGATCTATCTGAAGTTAAAATCCTCTGTTTCAAGAACTTTCAGAACTTACTATTCTGCATATCTTATTGCTTCAATGGAAGCATGCAGACCATATTTCTCCTTACTGTGAAGCTCTTTCTGGAAACTGATTATCCTATTGTTGTAATGTTATTGCAGAGGGGAGCTGGAGCTGATGGGTTATGATGAAGGGACTTAGGCTTTGTTTGGGGCGGCTTTTGTAATGTTTTCTAAAGCAATTTTCTAATACAAAATTTTTTAGTTCAGAATATTTTTGTGCTAAAAAGTTGTTTTAAAAAACAGTGAGAAAGCCATTCCAAATAAAGCCTCAGACCAATCAGATTTTCTTTTTTCTGGCTTTGATATAAATTTGATTGGGTGGTTATGGGCTTCAATTCAGTAATGATGAGATTGTTCTTAGGATTAGTGCATGATTCTTCTGTAGGTGGTTTGTTTTAGAAGCTTGTTCTTTTGGTTTCAATGAAGTGGCTGATGGGTGGATTTCTCCACCATATTTTTTAAAAAGAAAAATCTCAAAATAGTTTCTAGATTATTCGTGTATGGCGAGTATCAACATTATCTCAATTTAAGTTTTGTTTGGGATAACTTTTTCTTGCTTTTTTAAAATAGTTTTTTAGTAAAAAAAATTTAATGAAAAAATATTTGTACTAAAAAAATTATTTTAAGAAGTAGAAGAAAGCTGTTCCAAATAAATTTTGGTATTATAAAGTTGTTTTAAGAAGTAGTAATAAATCCGTATCAAACGAAACCTTAGTCACTAAGATTGTGAGTGTATCGCGTCTAAGCATGGTATAAAGATATGTATGTATTGTGTTGATGAATTCGGAAGAAGTGAAATAGTGGAGAGAATGATAAAGAGAAAAGAAAGTATTTCCATCAAAGTTTGAGAATTAGGCTTCGTTTTGGATGGCTTTTTCATTACTTCTTAGAATGAAGTTTTAGTTAAATTTTTTTAATTTTTGTATTAAAATTCTGTTTTAAGAAGCAATAAAAAAACAGTCTCAAACAAAGCCTTAGTCATCATTCCTCTCCATTCATCATTGCGATCTATTGCAAATGTGTTTGAAATATGTTCGATTTTCAAAAATTTGTTTCCTTTAATTTCTTAGCATTAGAAATCAGTGCTTTACCAAACACCAAAGCATTATTTATTTAAGTAAATGAGAAATATAAATATCTCGAAATGCCATACCCTTAAAATGTAGGGATAGAAGATTTATTATCCATCAAATTGGGTAAAGCATCCATCACAATACAAAATAAGTACGGAAATAATGGACAATTTTGCTGAAGGTTAGAAGAAGAGCTAAAAAATCCTTCTAAAGAACCATTAATTGCTACATAAAAGAAAATCTCTTCAATACAACATTTTATCCAAGAAATAAAATGACCTGGAAATTAAAAAAACTTCTTAAAATGTTGAATAAAAGCTTCAGACATAAAATTAAAATCAGAAATAAAACCTTTATATGTATAAATATCATTAATATTATTTTTATTTTGTAATTTTGGAATATAAAAAACTCAAGTCGTCCTCTCCATTAGAGCTCCATCTTGCAAGAAGTCCATAAAACATGATAATGATTAATTAGATAATTAACCTCTTTTAAAAATCCTTTTTTTTTTAAAGCTCAATAATTTTGTCAGAGAAATAGTTAGAGGAAAGCCATGGTTGATTTTTGATATAACCTTTCAGCTTTTCCAACCTATGATAAAGGTCAAAAATTGGGCTACCAATAGTAAGTAATTCCCAAATTTTTTGCTTATAACACCATAGTTTTTAAACATAAATCGATGCTTAAAATTATGCACTATTATTAAAAAGAACCAACGGATAGTGATCATAACATCGAGGCTTATCAACATTATAATAAGAAGTATGAAACTCAGCCAATCAAGCCTTATTCACCAAAACCCTTTCTAACCTGATATGAATTGGACTATCATACCTTTGATTGAACCAAGTGTAAAAATACCCCATAGAAGAGAGCTCTTGCATGCCAATATTAAAAATGAGATTATTGAAGTCCCATAATTCATTATCAAGTAAAATATTATCCCTTGATTTTTCACTGGAAAATCGATATCAATTAAAATCATCAAGTAAAATCCAAGGAGAAGAAATACCAGTAGACAAATTAAGTATATCCTACCACAAAACTAATCTCTCATATGAATTATTAGCTGCATACACAATTGAAATGAGAAAAGAGGAATTCAAACCCACTTTCAAACAACCATGAGTAATTTGACCATAGGTAAAAATAAGAGAAAAAGAAATACAAGAAGCATTCCTTTTAATCAAAATTCTCCCAGGATCCGAGCAATTAAAGTTATGGCAACTGTCTTCATTCGAAAAAATCCTATGCCTAGAAAAGAACCAATGATCGTCTACCAAAGCCAAATTCACTTTAGCTTAAAGAATACAAATCAAATCAACGTTAAAGCAACACACAATATCTTTGCAAGAATTAACTTTCTCCATTAAAGCCTATGACTTTCCAAGAAGTAAAATTCAGAAATAACATGATTATTTTGTCAAGGAATTGGGTGCCTTTCTGGCATATTTAGCTCTTGTCGATTTACCCGCTGCCAGGGATAACTTTAAAACAGTGTGATTACTAGAATCAGACTCTTTAAAACCTTTGATCAGATTTTATTTTAAATTATAAAATGAGTTTCCTCATCTTGATTTACAAGCCCAGATAAATCTTTCATTTGTAAAATAATAAATTGATTATTATTTTGCAATTCAAAATTAGCAGCATTAACATAATTAATAAAATCTGCAGGCAAAACCTTAGCAAGAGAAACATCTGAAGGAGAATTTAAATTAGGAATAACCGCTTTCTCTATCTCTATGCTAGAATCAGAGGACACCAGAATATTTGAATTACCATCCTAATTTTTAATCAGATCATTATTCAAAGAAGCAACATAAACTTCATGAAGACTTTACGAAGCCTTCATAGCAGCCCAACTTTTAGTCTGATTTCTAATTTTTTCCCCCGGGAGACTTGAAGAAGCCTTCCAAGAAACCCAACTTCTACTCCTACCTCCTGGAAAAGCATTATCATTTTCCTACATTTTACCATTATCTTCCTTTCCTTTATTTATATTACCAGGGTTAGGATTCGAAGGACAGAGAGAAGTGGGATGAACAATTAACCTACAACTAGAATAAGGAGTATGTTTCCGATCATAAAAAAACCTTTAAACTAATAATAGTCCAAGCAATAGAAACCTTAATCTCATCGGGAAGAGAAGATTCTTTAGTAATTAAAACACAAATTAGAGCATAAATAAGATGTAATTGCTCATCTGTGAGCAAATCAACATCTATAGGAACCCTCAATAAGCAAACTATTTTATAAATACCTTACGAAGTCTAGCAAATCAGAAGAAGATCAAGATTTTAATCCGGAGAGAAATTAATGAAAATTTCTCCCTCTTAGGATGAAAAAGAGGAGACCATTTTTTGGATAATAAATGGCCTTCCAAAGAAGAACCAAAGCCCTCGTATCCCGACAATATCGTAATTTTTTGGACAGAAAAATTTCATCAAGAAGAAACCATTACTCAAACCCATAAGGGAGAATGCACCTTTAAACTTCCAAATTTTCAACATCACATATCTTAACGCCTCAAAGAAATACATCTTTCTTAAGGAGTATTCGACCAACATTAACTCCTATTTTGGAGAAATTATTAGGTCTGGTCATCAGACCTATTTCTAGGTCTAGACATCCACTAAAAATTTGCCACGTGGAATGCACACGTGTTCGCAAAATTTTAAGCTAAGCGCGTCAAAAGCTCAGGTAAATTACAAGTAAAGCGCAGTCCACGTGGCAAGTTTTTATTGGATGTCCGGACCTAGAAATAGGTCCGGTGACAGGGCCTAATACTTTGCCCTATTTTTGGGCAAATTATTAGGTCTGGTCACCAGACATAGAAATAGGTCCGGACATCCACTAAAAATTTTTCACGTGGAATGTACATGCAGTAAAAAAAGCACAGTCAAAGCGTAGTCTACGTGACAAATTTTTAATGGATGTCTGGACCTATTTTTATGTTTGATGATTGGACCTAATATTTTGTCCTATTTTTTAGACACATTTTGATCATCATCTTTCAAAAATAGGGCTAGATTATCTTTAAGAAGAATAGCCACGAGAAGAAACTGGCCCAATCTAACTTCTCAGATCGTTCGGAATCATCATGGGTGAGATACCCATATTACTAGATGATTTCAACATAGAAAAACGAGGAAGAAAAATTAGGCACAGCTAAAAATGCAATAGAGGAGCTAATCCTTTGAGTAAAAAGTGTTTTCGGCTCTGCTAGGGTTTCCTTTCGCGCCCTAGTTTTGTGCCTTCCCGCCTCCCCGTCGGGGGCCCTCCCACATGGCCGACTTCCCACCTCTCGCCTCCACTGCCACTGCTTCTCCAGTTCCCTTAGCTTCCCCTCTTGACTGGAAAAACCTCTTAGCCACACCCGAAAGTCTCCACGACTTTCTCACACTCGCTATCTTTTGTCCCAGCGCAAAACCTCACTTCTCAATTCATCTCCGAACAGTTCGTTGCTGGAGCCACGTAATGGTCGTTATCTTTGGTCGGTTACTCAATTGGTAAGAGGCCCTTTTACGAGGCTTTGTTGTCAACGATTAAAAAGACTTGGAATCTCAAAGGATCCTTCTCCCTCCTCACGATAGACGATGGCTTCTTCCTTTTGAAGTTCTCTACCTTAGAGGACTACAAGCTTGCCTAGACTGGAGGCCCTTGGTTTTTTTTTCGGAAAGCCCTTCATCCTCCAGAAGTAGACGCCTGACTTTATTCCAAAACGCGAAGAATTTCCATCGATCCAGCTCTGGATCAAGATCATGAACCTACCTTTATCTCTTTGGACACCGGAAGATATCTCTAAACTTGCTAGTTGTGTTAGTATTCCCCTTGCTGTATACGCCCTCACCGCAACCAAAACTAGACTGACTTTCACTAGGATTTGCATTCAAGTCACTAGTTCATCCACCCTACCTGAAGAAATCTTCTACTATGTTGATGGAAATTCCTTCCCTTTGCAGGTGTAGTATGACTGGAAATCAGAGCATTGCTCTCAATGTGGCTCTATAATGCATCCACCTACTCTATGTCTCAAAGACTCAATCCTAAAACCACATGTTGTAACTAAACCCAGAGGGAGAAGCACTAGTCAAAAAACCAGACTAACTCCGCCGCCCCGTCTCCTAATCCCAAAACCTGCTGTGACTTTGAAACCAGACCACCAAACCCATAGCATCCCTCTGTTGCAGAACCCACATTCCGAGCCCCTAATCCCGAACCTAAACTCCCCTTCTGGTGATCTGGTTACTGTTTCTGAACCACGCACTACTGTGGATATCCCTCCTAATATCAAAGCCAAGAACAAGTTTGATGTTCTGGCGGACAATGCCTCTAATGAACACAACCCTCATGACACCTAATTACCCAGCTCCTCCACAATCATCACTATTT